GATACATCAAAGTTTATCGAAACTTTTCGTAAACTTTGTCGTGATGCTGAAATTGATGATTTAAGAGAACAAAAGGAATACTTTGTTGAAACACTTCCATACGTTCTTAAAAAGAAGTTTTTAGATAAAATAGATGATATTAAATCTTTAAGTGATATTTTCTTAAGATTTAATAATCTTTTAATTGAACCAACTTCTAATTTTTTTATTAAAAATGGTTCTATTGTAGCTTTAAGACATATTGCTACAGGAAAATACTTGAGTACGATTGAAAATTTACGTTATGAAACTGGAAGTGGATCTCAAATGGTATATACTGTATATTATATTAATATAATATAATTTTTTTAGTATTACCGTAATTTTATTTATTATTGTTATTTTTTTTTTGTTATTATTTTTAGGTTTTTTTAGGTGATACAGAACCTCATCATACTTCCTTATGGAAAATTAAATTCGATAAAGATTACGCTACTATTGATACTTTTGTGACTTTACAACAACGATTTGATAAATTTCTTGGAATACGATATGATTATAGTAATTATTATAAGAGGAGAGAAAATTATTATAAATCTCCATCTCAAAACACAGAAGGTAATTAATTATTCTAGTAATTTATCAAAAAAAACAATATATTAATACATTTTATTATTATTATTTTTTTTTAGTGAGTTGTAATGTAATAAAGGAAAACGATAACGATAACAAGTGGAGATTTGATACTAATGATTTAAATTATCAAGGATGTTTAAAATCAAATGATATTATTACTCTTAGTATTAAGAATGAAATAGTTAAAGATCGATATGAATTTTTGCGTGGTCATGATTTTCAAGTCAATATTGGAAAAGAAGTATATGAAGAAGTCGTTTGTCATAATAAAGGAATAGGTGTAAATGATAATGTAAGAATATATTTGATTATATAGTATGTTTTTAACTTATCAATTTACTAATTAAATGTACTAATAATTTTTTAGTGGTGTATTGAACTTATTGAGTAAATATTTACACGTACAATACTGGTTTACAAATCTGGTTATGGTTAGTAGAAGATTTTAATCAAAATCGTGGTTACGCCACAATCATCTTTGTCACGTTAATTTATATTTATTTAGTTAATAAATATCAAAAAAAATCCTGTATAAACAAGTATAATAAAATAAGTAAATCACGATGACGATCGAAATTTTTTTTTTCTTTTTCCAAACTCCGTATCTTTAAAAAAAATGCTTCTCCAAGTATATGATGGAAATATTCATCCAGATGAATGGTTGAGACAATTTAATGCGTATTGTTTTCTTAAAAAAATTACAGAGGACAATGTCAAATTAGCAAAAATGATGATCGATTCTACGATTCATGTCCCCAAAGATGTAACTTCTTTAACAGAACTTGTTAGCGCATTAAAAGCGGAAGTTTCTTTCACAGTATTTAAAAATACAAGTAAAAGAAAATTACAAGT